CACTATTTTGGATGTTATTTGTTATTGTCTAGTTATTTGTGTTTGTAGGTTATAGTATTGTAAAGTAACTTTATTGAATAAACTCATCATATAATAAACTTAATAGTGCTAAGTCTGTTGCCTAGTAACTAGTGTACAGGTGTACATGAATCAGGTCATAGTTTGATTTGCAGTGTGCTGGTATGCGAGTGTGTATTGGAAGTTAGTGGTATGCACTTACAGGTGGGTGTATGGAGGTTTACTAGAGTAGGCTGGAGTGATGAATAGAACTGCTTTTGTGATGCAAAGTAGGTCAGTGTGCTTGGTAATTCTGCAGTGTGATGTGGTTAGTTGTCCAGGAGTGAGCATCTCCTGCAATTCTACTCGTGGTGACTCGTAATTTTACTATCAACTGGCAAGGCGTTCAGGCTTTGAGTTGGTGGGAGTCAGTGGTAACTTCGCTGTATTCGGTCAGCCAAGTATATAGAGTAGAGGTCTGCCAAATTGGTTTTGCAGCTTGGGGATATTCCTGAGACTTGGAGATTCCACCCTTTGGTGAGGGAGATGGACAAGACGCCCGCACATAGAAACTGTAAGTTGAGTTTTCAGTTTAATCATTTCCTAGTAGTTCATTCAACTGTGCCGGGTACAGTAGCCCGATTAAATGCATCCATATTACGTTTCTTTATTTGTGTTTAAAACGGCGAGTATTATGGAATGTACTTGTCCCTTTTCCAGATGACCTGTGAGTGGTGAGCCGTCGTGACGCATGGAGCGCAGTCTGAGTGGAAGGCTGTGAAGTGGAATTCTAGATTGTGTGGAGTGAAGCAAGTGTCGAGCAAGTGAACGTTTTAACTTACCGGACAATAGGACAGTCTGAACGTGTTGTGTGACGTGTTCATGAGGGCTAACCGGTTGTATTACCAACTTGCAATGCTAGTTCTTAATTTACTGCTTGTATTTATAATGTGTATGCTTCACGCATTGTTGTAATTTTGATGAGCGTGTAGTCTAGTTTGTCTTATAATTGTATGCCGTTTTACGGATTGTGACATGTATTAATATAACTAGTAATATTTCCCTTAGCATCACCCCATTGTGTATAGAACTCACTACCAGCTTAATAAAGCGTATTAATTCTGAACCGCACACTGGCGTGATTTCTGCTTGTTATTTTATTGCATGTGCTGCCTGCTAGAAAAAATCTGACAATTGGCGAGCGTGCCAGGATTGGCCAAACACATTAGTTCAGAAATTGGCAGCATGTACATGTAGTGTTTTGCAAGCGGTAACTATTCAGTGTGTAACTATATTTTGATGCACTACATTTATTGTATTGTTACTGTTATTGTATTTTTTCAGTTAAGTGATCTTGTATTGTATTTAAAATATTTAACTGTTTCAGTCTTGTTTTATTATCCAGGTGCTTGATGCGCCAGCCCAACTCCGTTCAACAGAGGTTGGAATCCAGGTGTCTCAGGGAACAGCTGCTTTCTTATTATAGAATAGGGTGAGTAAATTGCAGTGTTGCTCAGTATGGACAAGTGGATGGAACTTGGGCGTGAGATGGGATTAGGTGGTGAGGATCTGATGAGTTTTGTGAGAGAGAGGGAGAAATTTGCGAGGGATGAACGTGCACAGCTTATGGAGTTGAGGAAGCACGAAAAGGATATATTAGAATTACGGTTGCAAGCGAAAAGAGAGCATGGGGAAATTGCGGTTGGTGAAAGAGACTCGGGGTATGCTAATGCACCAAAGTTACCCTTGTTCAATGAGGATAAGGATGACTTGGATGCATGGGTTCAAAGGTTTGAGAGGTATGCATTGGCAATAGGATGGAAGCGTAGAGACTGGGCAATAAATTTGAGTACCCTTCTTACCGGTAAAGCACTGGACACGTACTCGCGTTTGGCAGTACAGTCGGCAAGCGATTATGATGCACTAAAGTTGGCTTTGTTTAAGCAGTATAATTTAACCGAAGATGGTTTTCGCAAAAAATTCCGAGGTGCGAAACCTGATGAAACAGAGACGGCAACTCAGTTTGCTGCACGAATAGAAAACTATTTTGATCGATTGATTGCTGACATAGCCAAACTAGCTGAACAGTTTGTAGAGGCCCGTGGTACAAAGTTTGGGCAGGTAAATAGACGAGTTAATTGTAATGAAAAGAAACCCTCTCAGGGCAAAGCTGTTAACTCCAGCTCTCCCACTCGTCAACGAAAAACCAGTCAAGGCGATGGTTGTTTTGTCTGTGGTAAAAAGGGACATTTTGCACGGGACTGTCGACAAAGAGTAACTAAAACAGTTAAGGCATCATGTCTCATTGTAAGGGAACCAAATAGGTCCAAACAAGCAGCAGTGTCTACCAACATATCTGAGAATGATATTGTGACCTGCCGGCTTCCAGAAAGCGTGAATGAAATGAATGAATGCTGTCTGCAACAGGATCATGTGACATTGCATTGTGGCCATCAACTCCCTGTTATGAGTGCAGCGTGCCGGGGACAGATGCCACCGAAAATGCCGGTAGCGGTAGGTTGTGTTGGTGGTGTTGAAGTTTCAGTTCTAAGAGATAGTGGATGTAGTGGTATAGTGGTAAGGCGAGCCCTTGTTTCTGATGACCAGCTAACTGGAGAGTTTAGAGTCTGTGTTCTTGTAGATGGTACAGCAAGGAAGATTCCAGTGGCTCGGATAGAGGTGGATACTCCGTATCTCATAGGTATGGTGGACGCCCTGTGTATGAAGAGTCCTGTATATGACCTTATCCTTGGAAATGTACCAGGAGTTCGTGACCCATCTGACCCCGACTTAAATTGGAATGGTGGTTCGCATTTAGATGTGCAGTCTGGAGACTGCAGTGAGCCAGTAAAAGAGATGATATTGGGGGTACAGACGAGAGCCCAAAAGATGTTGGAGCGTAAACCTACACGAGGCTTAAAGGTACCAAACAGTCCCATAGAGATGGTAACAGTCGCCGAATTACAGAAAGAACAGAAAACTGATGTAACTTTGAAGCGCTGTTGGGAACTGCTGAATGAAGGTAGTAAACTGCTTGCAAGGAATGGTAATGAATCAGAGTTTGTTCAACAAAAGGGAATTCTGTACCGGAATTTCAAATCGCCACACATCAAGAATGGTGATGGTTTCCACCAGGTGGTCGTGCCATTGACATTTCGGCACCAAGTAATGAAGCTAGCACACGAGTCAATACTCGGGGGACACCAAGGGACCGAGAAGACGGTGGACAAGATTATCGCACATTTCTACTGGCCGGGTATTCAATCAGACATTCGGAGATTTGTTCGATCCTGTGATGCATGTCAGCGAACGTTCTACAAAGGTAAATCCCTCAGAGTACCCTTAGGCACAATGCCATTGATTGATACCCCCTTTCAACGGGTAGCAGTAGATCTGATTGGGCCAATATTTCCAGCTACGGAGAGAGGTAATCGTTACATTCTCACTCTTGTTGATTACGCAACTCGATATCCTGAGGCAGTGGCGCTGAAGAACATTGAAACTGTTACTGTAGCAGAGGCACTCGTGGACATGTACAGTCGTATAGGTGTTCCACGAGAAGTATTATCTGATCAAGGTTCACAGTTTACATCAACACTTATGAAGGAAGTTAGTAGATTACTGTCTATCAAGGGATTGACAACCACACCATATCATCCTTCTTGTAATGGGTTGGTTGAACGTTTCAATGGTACCCTGAAACAAATGCTCAGACGGATGTGTGGAGAAAGACCCAAAGATTGGGACCGGTATCTAGCCGCCCTGTTATTGGCTTATAGGGAAGTGCCACAGGCAAGTACTGGATTTTCACCATTCGAGCTAATTTATGGGAGAACCGTGAGGGGACCAATGTCAATACTTAAAGAACTATGGACCAATCAAGTGGATGAAGCGGAAGTGCGTACTGTGTATCAATACGTACTTGATCTCAAGAGAGACTGGAGACCACGTGTAAACTTGCTCAAGAAA